TTTGACAAATCCGCTCGATATTGGATCTGGTAAGTGCCGCGTCTGTCTCTATTCGTTTTTCTCCGCCGTGGGCTTTAGCTTTCGCAGCTTTCTTCATCTCCTCGAGACTCTGAAGAGTATTCTCAAGGGCCTTTTTTTTATTTATTTATTTTGCCGCGTGGGCCATGGCTCGGCTTTTAGTATTGCGATAATTATCAAACGAGTCCTCCGGGCTTGAAGCTCGGGCTCATTTGATAATGGGAGGGCTAGATGATATGACAATATATTCGGGCCGGTTTTTATGCATAGGCCTGGCTCCATGATAAGGCGGTCCAATTGTTGGGTATGAATTGTCCAGCCTGTTTATTAGCACGAATGGGTTGAATGGAGTGCACTAGTCCCATATTGGTCGCAGTGCAATGAGGTCGGCCCATATAGGAAAACTAGATGATTGGACTGGGAGAGTTGAAGCGTGAGGAATAAGCTACACCTTCAGGTATAAATACACAGACGAGGACTATGGTAAAGTGGACACTCTACAAACCCTAACCCTATTTTACAATTATGTAGGATTCTCTTATACTCTTCTATTCCTTACTGACTTGAGCGTCGGAGAGTTACCGCCGGGAGCACCTCCCGGCGTCATTGCAGGTCTTCGAGAGCTTGAACCGGGCGAGGAACGGAAGGGAAGGTGTGGAAGTGTTATCAGAAATGTCATTTATTATTAAATGACAAAGTTACCTAACCTACATATTACTTGAACATATGTTGTTTATCAAACATACATATATTCTTAAATATTGGAATTATTTGTCCATTCGTCATGAATTTCAACAGTCAGAGGGAAGTTCGTTAGGATAGCCTCATTTCCCCTATTTATTAGTTATGTGCATGGAGAGGTTGGCTTATTTGCAAGGAGGTCGAGGAACTAAGTTGGCGTCTAATATCAGTTGGGAGAGGGGCAATTTCAATGCCTTTTTTAATGTTTGTTGACGATATACTACTATTCTTGGAGTCCTCGTATGATCAGGGGTGTTGTTAATGTACGTAGGTATATACCTACATACATTAGAAATTTTTGTTGACCACCGACCTGGCAATGATCGACTCATCAACCAAATACCAATCTTTAATAATTTAAGCATGTGCTAGGTACGTGTGCGATCAACTTTTGGCAACTCGGTTTGAACCGAATAAGTTCCGACTCGCTTGTACGAAGAAAACCGGCTTATTTTGATAACCGAGGTCCGACTTATTTTGATAACCGAGGTCATTTCCACTCAACTAACTTGATAACAGGACCGACCAGAACCGAGGTTGTCAAACCCAAAGCAGGTGACACCATGCATACATGGCTCATTCGCACACCATGTATACCGTCATCATTCTTGTGGGCCCAACTGCCATAAACCGCTTGTTATAGATACTTTGCATTAAATGCGGTCGTACACAACTCGAACTGCGAGCCTAAAAAAGCTACTATAAATAGTTGAGTTTACCTCTTGTACATGAATGGATTTCTGAACATTCGATATACCTTGGAGCTAAAAATAACTCAATTTATGATACAACTCGACTTCATATACTTTAATAAAAATGCAAATTACTAATAGTTCCCGTGTTTTTTATTTGATTACTTGTTAATTACGTTGTTAGACACCACATAACAACAATAGTAACAATAAAAAAATATGTATAAAAAATTAAAACGTAATTTATATGATTAATGATAAATAAAGCAGAGTCTATAGTAATATAAAGAGATTGTTGGAAAAATACAAAAAATAGTAACTTTGACTTAAAATAATTGTTGACTTACTAATATAAGCAATACAATGGGCTCCACACGTCAACCAATTTAATCGGATTTTGGTAACAAATTTGATCTGATTTTGATAACAAATCTCGGATTTTGGTAACAAATTTGATTTATTTTGATGACAGATCTCGAATTTTGTTAACATATTTGATCTGATTGTGATAATAAATCACAGATTTTGATAACAAATCTTTTAAAATATTGGTTTTTTTTGGTAATACACTTCATATTATTTACACACAATATATTGTCGATAATCTTTGAGATTTCTTTTGGTTACAAATTTCACATTTTTTTTGGAATGTTTGTGTGATAATCAAAGAGATCTTATTCTCACTTGCGTAAACTGAATACATGAGTACGAATATATAGAGTACAAAACCTAAAAGAAAGAAACAAAATAAACTAGAGATATGCAAAGATTTGAGTATATCATAACAAGTCTAACACCCCCCCTCAAGCTAAGTCGTGTCTGCAATAGAAACGCGTAGATTGGTCCTGAAATAATCAAAGAGACCGTGCGACAAGCTCTTCGTGAATATATCCGCCACCTGATTGTCGGACTCCACGAATTTAGTGAATAGACGCCCAGAGTCCACAAGCTCTCGAACGAAGTGATAATCGATATCAATGTGCTTTGCGCGCTTATGCGAGACCGGATTTTGAGTGAGAAAAAGCGCACTTGTGTTATCAGAGTAGAGCGTTGGAGAGGATGTGGGAACCGCATGCAAATCTCGAAGGAGATTCATAACCCATTGTATTTCTGAAGCAGTGTGAGCAATGGCTCTATATTCAGACTCACAACTAGAGCGAGCCACAGTTGGCTGTTTCTTCGCACTCCAGGAAACAAGATTGGGTCCAAGATAAATGGCATAGCCATAGGTGGAGCGACGAGTGTCAGAACACCGTGCCCAGTCAGCGTCGGAGTATCCAACAAGAGAAGAAGGACCAGCAGAATAAGATAAACCATAGTTCAGCGTCCCTTTGACGTTACGGAGAATCTGCTTGACGGATTGGAAATGATCAATGGTTGGATGTTGCTGGAACTGACTGACAGTGTTTACCGAATAAGCAATATCTGGGCGAGTGATTGTTAAATATTGCAGCGCACCAACAAGAGAACGATAAAGTGTCGGCTTATCAAAAGGATCACCATGTTTGGTCATGGAAGAGCCAGGTGCAAGCGGGGTAGCCACGAGCTTGGAGTCCTGAAGCTCAGCGCGCTTAAGAATGTCCAAGGCACACTTAGTCTGACTGAGAAATAAGCCGGAAGAGGAACGAGTAACCTCTAGACCAAGAAAGAAGCCAAGAGAGCCCATATCCTTAATCGCGAACTCGCGATGCAGACGAGAGATGAGGGCTGCAATGACAGTTGGAACGTTGCCGGCGATGATTATGTCATCAACATAAACCAAAAGATAGACCAATGTGTTGCCACTCTTGTAAACAAAGAGAGATGTATCAGAAGAACTGCATTAGAAGCCAATCGAAAGCAGAAAACTGTGGAAGCGTTGATACCAAGCAAGGGGAGCTTGCCGGAGACCATAGATGGCTTTATTTAACTGACAAACATGATCAGGAAAACGATGATCAATGAAGCCAGGGGGCTGTTCCATGAAGACCGGAGAAGAGAGAACACCATTTAAGAATGCATTTTTTACGTCCAATTGGTGAAGTGGCCAAGAGTTCATAACAACAAGTGAAAGAACAATCCGAATAGTGGATGCTTTGACAACCAGACTGAAGGTGTGAGTGAAATCAAAACTAGGAATTTGGCTAAACCCTTGAGCAACCAAACGAGCTTTATATCGATCAACAGAACCATCAGCAAGAAGTTTAATGCGAAACACCCACCTCGAACCGACTACGTTGGTGGAGGAAGGGCGCGACACGAGAGACCAAGTATTATTCGCCTTTAAAGCAGATAATTCCTCAAGCATAGCACGCACCCATTGTGGAGATTTAAGAGCAGCCGTGATGCCACGAGGCTCGGGAATAGCCGTAAGAGCA